TGGGTTAGTTTACGTTTTATAATCCGCAAAAATTATACAAAATAATTTGCGTTCCTTTTAAGACATCAACCAATGAGAGGCGAGAATACAAACAAAATTAAATTATTATTTAATGAATCTTCCTTTCACCTCTTGATAATGTTTTTTATTTTGGTATAATACACTAGTGATCCCTGTTGAGCATCCTGCCTCCTGGCATTCATAATAACTGTAATAAGATTTTGATATCATTATTAATTGTCCCCCGCTTTCACTGAAAATGGGAGATATTAATTTGCGTCTGTCTGTCTGTCTTTCTGTTTGTCTGTAACGATCTCGTTTCCACACGATATCTCAAGAACCCTTTGAGCTTTTGCAATGAAAGTTGGCATAGCAACTCCCTATGGCGTAGCAAAGAACCCTAATGATTTTGAGGTCCAATTTTCGTAGTCAAGGTCATAAGTTAATAAAATTTGTCTGTTATCATGCTTTCGTCTCCGCACGATATCTCGACAAAACTTTGAGCTTTTGCAATGAACTTTTACATAACAACATTCTGTGGCCTTTGAAGAAGACCTTATCAAATTTGAGGTCAAAAGATCAAAGTTCAAGGCCGTAAATTTAGACATTCCCCCTGCGTGTAACACTATCATTTTCTGGCAATATTTTAAGAAGATTTTGAGTTTTGGCAATGTTATTTTATACCAAAACTCCCTCTCACTACTCTCAAAGTATCCCGCCCAATTTGTTTTATTGGTATTTTTTGTATTTAATGTCGATATTTTTAGGACAAAGACATGAGGAGAGTTTTTACGTATAATACAGGTTCTCGGCGGACTTTATGTTCTTAATACAAGCATTTGAAGCTGAATTGTTTAATAAAGGCGATATTAGACACCACGCATTGTGTAAAAATTTGACAATATCGAACGTGAATATATACATGTATGTAATTTCATTTTTGCATATTATTTCCGCCAGATAAAAGCGGTTCCATGGTTTAGTAGTATGTTTCTCGCTTCACATGTGAGAGGTTCCGAGTTCGCATCTTTGACGATTCATTTACTTTTTTTAATATTTTTCTTCAACTAAATGATAGTATTCAACATGCGAATTGAAAAAGTTATCATGTTTGGCTTCTACAAACTCATAAAATCATCATTACAGTGTGATGAATATTCCATATAAAAAAAGACTTCTATACACAATCATAATAAAGAATAAGCAATCAAATCTTTATATCCATATTGGCATATTTTATTTGCTTCAGTATACGTGTATACATTTAAGAATTCTACAAATTCAGTTAAAGGGGATCCCCCCACAAGTGTACTGGTTTCATTTTTTCCCAAAGCGGGGGATACAGATTCTCTGAATTATCTTGTTCGGATTAGTTAAGAGGTGTAGTTATTTTTCTTTTCGATCGACGTTGGTGAAGAGAATACTTCTTGCATTATCGTTAGTAGAACGTACGTTATTACAAATGAAGAAATTTAATTTTTAAAATTAAAAAAAAAAGAAAAAAGAGATGTGTTTGTGAAACACTATGCGCCCTGCGAAAACAAAAGTAGAAAAAAGCTATTTTTAGCATAATTTATAGGTCACAGTCACCGTAACAAAGTCATTGTTTTTGGAATCAATTGAAAGAACTTCATCAATGGAGGGTTCCTCTTAAATATAAAGACTCTTCCTCTCATTTATTAGAATAGGTGATGTATCAACTGCTTTATTTATTTATGAAATAATAACGGCTCCCAAGACTTAAGGTCTCTGACTCTTATTTCCTTTCACTTTCGTTTTATAACTCATCATTCTAGAAGGCAATAGATTACAGTTCTGCATTTAATTTTAAGCAACCCTAATAGAAATTGTAGTTTGCCTTGCTCACAATTTTTTTTTTCATTTATCTATCATGTAAACTTTAAAAAATAAATTAAAAACACATGAAAACTGGGTAGTCCGAATTTTCTTGTTTCCAGTGCTTATTTATATATTATAGGGAGCATTCATTATTGATTGTTGTATCACCTATTCGAATTGGTGATGTAACCAATTAAAACTGAATAGGTAATATCACCTATTCAATTCCAATGGGTGATATCACGAATTCGATTTGATATCACCTATTCAAATAGGTGATACCACTTATATGAAATGAATAGGTGATATCTCCAATTTGAATAAGTGATATTACCTATTCGAATCGGTTATATCACTTTTTGCCAGTAAATACCAAAACGGCGTCTCATAAAAAATCGCTAAAACTGAAATCGCTAAAAATTAATTGCGCTTTTTTTTGTTATAGTGGGCTTTTTTCAAATCGCTAAAATCAAATCTCGATAAAAATTAAATTAACATTTTTAAGGACAAATAGATAAATTTGCGCCTTGGTAAACTATCCACTTAAACGGAATTATTTTATAATAATTTAAGATCCACTCTCTGTTATAAACATTTAAAATGGTAACAGATATAAATTGGAAACAAGATATTTTATTCTAAAGCAATTGTTTTGTAAAACACGTTCTGATTGGCTAATGTTTGAAGCAGTAAACGAGCATTAACGTGAGTGAAAGCTTTTCATTGTGACGTCATAATAAAGCGACGCAAAAACACAATGCTCCTTGACGTATTTCAGATAACGAAACTCAACAAAATAAGACGTAAACAACAAACAAAATGCATGAATTGCATTAGAATGGGAATAACTTATCTTCTAATTTAGTATTTGCGTCCGTTAATGCTGATTTAACGGTCCCAAACATCTGTTTTACCGGCTCCGCTTACTCATCGAAGGGAAAACTCAGTTTGCGACAGTTAAATCAGCATTAACAGGCGCAAATACCAAATTAGAAGATAGTTATTCCCTAATTTATTTATTTTTATTGTACAGGGAAGTATCATCTACAGAATGAGAGTTATAATCGATCAAAATCTTTGGGAGGGCGAGTGGGCAGCACGAATCTCCGCCAAGTTTGTGTCGTATCTACTATGTACAAACTACCGATTTCCCTTCATGAATTGTGACACGATTAACCAAATAAAAATACAGGCGATCGGACAGCTCTTCGTATACGAGGGGTGATCAAAAAATTTGCGAACTATCCCTGTATTTTGAAAATTAAAATTCAATTTTCAAATGAATTTTCTCATTCACATGTTCTTTGATTAGCAGATAATATTATTTTTCTTTTCCCCATGATTAAAATAACGTCAATAATTTATGTAGGTACGTTTTGACGAAAAATGGTTCACCCAGTCATACTCGAGAAATGAACGGCTGTGACGTTTACTGTATATCTAGGAAAATCCTTTGGATTACCAACTAATAATTTGTACAAGGTTGATGAAAACAAAAGTCTTGTCTGGATTTCGGTAATTAATTAGACTAATTGTTTCCGTGAAGAAAGGGATATGGTTAAAATGACGTTTGTTCTGTTCCCAGTGAAGGCAAACTGGATTAGAAATTTGTCTTTGGATAGCAATTTATTTGAGAGATTGCCTGGTAACAGTCAGGAAAGAAGGTAGAGCAATTTTTCTTTTTATCAAAAGTAACTTGCAAGGTATAAAATATAAGATTTGTTCTACCTAATTTCGAATTGTTTTTCTAAAGATGGAAATTTACATGTTATGGGAAATATTTCTCCAAAATTTATAGTAAAAAATGTGTTCTATTTTTGTACGTGCTTTTATCAATGGAAACATTTTTATTCTTAGAACGCATGGTATTTTTAGATACAAAATAGTTAAAGGAAACAAGACATTTAACGTAGACATTTAGTCCTTATATTATTACCGCCCGTTGCAAGGAATGAAAATTTAATAATTATGTGTATGTTTATGGAATGTTTTTAAGTTTTGTGTGAGTTATTGGTATGTGAATCTCACAGACTTGTTGCGTAGGCATATTTATATAGAAATATATATATATATATATATATATATATATGAAAAATATGCCTACGTGCAAGTTAGTGTAATTCTCATACAAATAATTCACATTTAAAAAAGTCCTCACATTTACATTTAACAAGTTTGGAAGCATTAAAAATATACTCAATATTTGAATTTCTTGCTGCCCTATATTCTTATACTTTTACTAACATCGCTGTAGCCTTATTGTGACGTCACGTTAGCGCACGTTTCTCTGTGTATATTTCTACGCGTGAGCATATACGAAAATGGTTTTCAGATGAATTTAACAGTTGACTTACTAGAAAAACACAGCAAATTCAAATATAACAGATTGGTATACGTAGTTTATAATTAGAGAGTTAATGTTTGTGAGATTTGAGATTTTATCAGAAGAATGAGTTTTTTAACTAAAACTGTGTCTGGATAATTTTGCAATTATCAATCGTCAGGTTAGGTTTCAAAGGATACTGGCAAAATGCTTAATGCATGAGTTGTTTGCAATACCCATGAAATAACACTTACGTAATCAATGTAACAGTTCTGTTATGTACTTGTGTATATATCTACAACGAAATTAACATATCTTAACTGATCTTCAATTATGATATGTTTACAAGATATTGCTTTGCTATATGCAACCTTAACAGAACCGTGCACTCCTTTCTTTGTGCTGATGATCTTTGCTTACTTTGAACATTAAATATTTGAATTACTATTTACAATCCATTTGTCGCTTAGAATAATCTTTTGATGTTCTCGTAAATGATATAAAAACACACAGGCTAAAAGAACTGAATCTAAATCTAAAGCGCAACTAAGCTTATTTGTTTTCACAAATTCAGTTTATGTCTACTATAAAATAAAACAAAAATCTACATTTAAGCTAGTGAGTGCCTATTGTTATTTCCCATTCACATGATTCATAACCATTTAAATATACATACGCAATTGATCAATATTATTGTTTGTTTTAAACTGCTCTTTTAAAATTTAAAGCAGCTTTAAACTCAAAAAGCTTTACATAGAATAATATCACGAAAATAGTGATGGATTGTCTTTACGTACCATGTATTATTCTTATATTTTCCAATTTCATCAAGTCCTTTCAACAGTCGACCGACTATGTACATGTTTATAACAATGACAATCATATAACATCTGCCAACATCTTGTCGGAAATAACAAATATTCCTAGTTTGTCGAGTTGTAGTGCTATGTGCAGGAAGAGGGCTGATTCTGTCTCCTTCTTCTACAATTTTGGCATTAAGAAATGTATGTGTACAGGACAGGTACAACATAGTGACCTTCTACCATTTGTAGGATACGTGCATTTTTCTTCGTCAGGTAGGTTTCTATTGTTTCCTTTTACACATCAAATTGTTTTGTGGCATGGGTAAAGTATTTGGCAATAAAATTGAACAACACAAAAAAGTAAAAGGTAGTGTTTGGAATATGCCATTTTATGTAAAGTTCATTTTGATATTGGTTTGTAATTATAGCTTGACAAAAGTAGTGAACATCCAAAAGATCGTACCAGAGTACTATTAAAGAACAATTAGGTCGCAAATAGTGAGTTTAATACTTAATCAAAATTATAATCTACATTCCATTGCTGAAGACTGCTGAATTTGAAAATAAAAAATGACTGTTGCACGATGTTTCTTACTTTACATTATCTCCCTAAGATTTTTTTTAAAATAATGTATAAAGTAAAGATCAAACAAATAGAGAAACGAGAAAGTAAACCCAGGCACAACAAATGCATTAAATATCATTAAAATATCAATAACCCTCTTTATATCGATACATCGACCACAATGCATTATTTCATGCCCTTTATTTTCAAGGCAGATTTAAAACAAATATTTGATATGCATGGCTTGTCTTTATTTAATTGAGATCCGATGATCGTCAAACAGTCTCCTTTGTTTTACATGCATCTATTATTCCGTCATCAATAATTCAAAAGTAAAAAAAATAAGCTGATTACAAGGTCAAAATACTTGTCACAGCTTCCAAACATTTGTCTTTACTTCCCACTGAAGTATTAACAACAGTAAAGGAAAAGAAATCAGTATACGCTATTATAATATAGTTAAGAAGTGTTGTAAATCACTTCAGAATAACTAAATCTCCAAATTACTTTAAGGAAATTTAAACTTAACCGCTCTTCTATGACGTAAGGGCCTTTGACATTGTTTTACAAATAGAGACAAAAAAGGAAAACAAACAATGTAATAAACTGAAAATTCAAAACTTTGTAGAATTCAACTACACAACATAAATATCCTTTTTTTTAATAAAAGAAAATAAGTGTAGCTTTAATTTTATTTTTTAAACAAATATCACGGAAATTTATTTTGAATATTGCAAACCAATTATTTATATAAGTGGCGACATATTCATTCGACACTCACAGTATAGAATTTTTCCGCAATAACTAATTTATTATTATCTTCTGTACAGAAGTGAATGTTGGGTGGTGCTGTTAAATCTTTGCAAGTACAAGAAAGATAAGAATTTTGCAAAACATGAAGACAATGAAAGTTGGTTAACAGAACAGTGTGTATACATCTTCTGATATTTATTTAGATTTTAAATAACAAGTAGATTTAAAACTTCTAAATAATTGTTATCGCCGTCGACTAAATTCGAATTCTAAAGATACTTTTTAGCCTTTTTCATTATTTGATTTTTTTTCTTTTTGAAGAAACCTCTCACATTATGAAGAAATGGTGTTCAATCCGTTCATTTATTTATCGGCAATCCTAGAACTATAATGGTGGTAGATTCCATTAAGGTTTACATAGAAAAAAACACAATAAATTTCTATCTATTTATTATTTGAGATAAATTCTTCCGTCGATGTTTTGATTTTTCATTTATTTTCCATGAGTGATGATAATACCATTGATGCTAAAGTGAACATTGCACCAGCCTTTTTGCTTTGAAAATTAGAAGCAAGAGAATTTGTGTTATTGAAGGAAAGATGACAAAAGTCGTGTTTTTGGCTGTTTGGTGATTTAATGCAAATGTAATTTTAAAACTGCAATCTCTTAGTTATGTTTTACATTCTATCATTAAGAAAGACGGTAGCATTAATCGTCAACCGTTAATCTCCTTTAATTCTACCCAAGTAAATATGGCTTGGAAAATGGGCTGGAATGTTTTAAAATAAAAACTTAAAAAATGGAATATATCCAGTCTTTGCAGAATCACATGATTATTAATGAGAAATAAATCTCACAGGAGCAATCTCATGAACATACTGCACACTTTTTTTTCCATATGAAGTTCATGTATTTATTAAAATAAAATATTTGATAAAATTGATAATAATACTTGTTAATACACAAGAAACAAAGTGATCTGAGTTAATTCCACTTTTTCGTTACAGAACTCTCGATTTGGAAAGTGTTTGGAAAATCCCACTATCTACATATCAAGAAACAAATAAAATGGTTAGACGCACAGGTAACAATGTTAAATAAAAATGTATTATAATATTCGTCCCCGTTATAAACTGGTGTATAAGTGCATTTTATTTTTATCTAGGTTTAAATAAATTCATAAAATTTTAATTCAACAATTTATTCTAATCCATACATATTTGTTTCTTATATAAGATTTTTGATTAAGCCATCTTAAAAACGAAATGTTTTACACTTTGCATTTTATATGACTTCTATATCGATGTAAGAAGATTTATTTTCTTCTTTTTAAAAATGCTGATAACACGTTTCTTCCTGTATTCACAACTTAATTTAACAAGATTCTATGTGACATTATTAGGTAAGGGGAACATGATCTACTTCGAACAAATTCTACTGTTGATACCCTTAGTTTGTTTGCAAATACATTTTGCCGATAGGTTGCATATTGACGATCGAAACTGATTCCATCTGTGTAAAGAGTCTAAAATTTGCTCTCCTGGCATTTCATCGGAACCCCGTATATAACAATGTAATATCGCACATGATTTAATGATATCGAAACGTTTTGAAAAGTTCCCTGCATATATATAAAAAATTTACAAAAAAATGATAAGAAGATTTAGAAGAATTCATTTTTTGTCAACAGATTGAATGTCAAGAACTTGGGGCAAAATTAGCAGAAATAGAGACATTGGAAGAAAATATTTTTCTGAAGAGCATCGCAAGGGAGAATAACTATGGTTAGATTATTTTTGGAAAAGTACATGCATTAGGATTCGTGAAACAACTTATTAATTTACCTTCTTGGTAATAATTTCTGAAGACATTTGCTGAATTGTCCTATTCTATATTTTAATTTAGGTTTTTGTCTTTGTTTCCAACAAATTGCTATATTTTTTAATAATTTAATAATTGGTGTCTTTTTTCTTCTTAGTTGAAATTCAGTGTATTTGGCAAAATATTTCATTAGATCATTCAAAACGATTCTTAAACATGTGTATTTTGCATTTACCAGTAATAAGAAACGTTTTCTTTTATTTGTTAAAGGCAACACATTTATCGGAGGAACAGATGCCTTCTCTCAAAACAGATGGAGATGGTCAACAACATTTCAACCGGTTAACTTCAGTGATTGGGCACCTAGCAAGCCTGATACATCGGGAGGTGATGAATGTATGGGTTTATCTGCTAACTTTGACATGCTGTGGGATGATATGGACTGTGATGCAAATCAAGCTTCTTTCATGTGTGAGCGGTTAATTGTTTGAGCGCAAATAAATTAACAAGATCTTATCTATATGAACCTACCTAGAAAGAACTATATCTTCGTGAAATTTGTTTATTATAATATACATTTGTCGGATCAGATCTTCAATGTGATTTCAAGATTGGAACTTCACTGAATAAATCATTGAGTGGACACACTATTTCTTGTTCACTCATATAGAAATTCCAGAGGTGGTATCAAGTGCTTACAAGGAGAGAAAAAAAAAACCCTTTCGACCTTTCACGGCGGTCATGGGCTCTATGTATAGATTCAGTAGATAAAGAAATTTGTTGTTAATTTTAATATAAAATCAAAGCTTTATCATTTTTTTTTTAAAGTTTTAGTTAAAGATACTGTACAACGAGAAAATTTGGCGTATACGTATTTTAGCGCAAACGCAAGTGGGATTGCATTGGCGCAAATAAATTTTAGCTCTTGCACTTGTCAGTAAAATATATAAATGTGATATTTTGGTTTTTTTTTTATCCACCCCCGTATTTGACTTTTTGGTTAGTCAAGCACGGAAACACATTAGCACTCAGGTATATCAGTAAACATACGCTAACTTTACCGCGGTGCGTTTTGCTATCACATGGACGTGGCACAATGTTAAAATTTATTTTATTTCTATTCTCAATTAAAAGAAATGGAGTATTTACAGTAACTCATTAAAACAATGCATGCATCGACACAAAATTACTTCGATAAAACGGTAATCCTAATCAGGTATTGTCTGCAAGCTCAATAGCCATGTTTGATTGCATTGTTTACCTCGAGGCGACAGATGATTGACACGCCGAGAAGCCAAACTTTGAAGTTGCTAATGATAATAATCGGGTAACAACTACTGGGGTAACATTAGTTTAATTCAATTATAATTAGCAGAACTTTCTGTCTTCCGAACATGTGCAGTGCTAGTGTGTATATAAAATCAAATGACCCTTCCATTATTACGTAATCGCGCGTTCAGGTTTACAAGTACTTATGTAAAAGCTTAGAACACATATAAAAATGATATTTAGAAATCCTTTAGCGCACAATAAATTTTAGCGCTAAAGGGCTCTTGCGCCAAAGGCGCTAACATTAGTAATGCGCCAAATATTCTCGTTTTACAGTATATAGAAAACCCAAGATAGATTGATGAAACGGTAAGTATAGCAACAACAGACCGAAAATTGAATTTATGTAATGTTGTCTATAAACGATGCTGTTTCATTCCCTATAATAATCTCTTACAGTGTTCTCTCTGTTTTGGTAGCCTGCCTCGATTTGATGATTAAGGATAAAAACAGAGCATGATACTGCTTATAGAATAAATGACAGTAAGGAGACAAAATCTATATACAAGTGGTAGAGAAATCCACTACAGAATTAAGGAATAGTTACAATAGAAATTCTGTTCGTTAAAGATCTAAATATGAAATAGATGTGACTGACTCCGTGGTGGGTTACATGAAGATAGTATTAACTGGGAATATCAAGTCGTTCAAAACATTAGCGTAATAAAAGCCGAAGGAAAGTCCAATTTTTGATTCCTCGACACCAGAATATGTGATTATGGATATTGCAAATCATAGACTTTTTTTTAAAGCAACATGTTTTACTGAAGAAAATGTTGGTAAAAGAATCACTCTTTTCCTTAAACTTTAATATGCCATGAAATAATTCATGCGGTTACATAATATGTAATATGAGAAATATTCTTAATCACAAAATATTCAAGTGTTGTATTCCACCATATTTCAAGTCAAAGACTACACCTTGTATTTTCTTACAAAAAAACATCGACCATTGCTTCAAATCTTTTCAATTCAAAAAAAAAAAAAAAAATGTACACGGCCTGGATACCGAGTATATGAAACATAATCCTCCATCGTGTTCATGATCTTCTTCGTCCTATAACTATAGTCCTGCTGGACACATTATTATAAGTGACGTAAATTTATTATAGTTAATAATGAGGACCTTAGATCACTTATTTTAAAAGGTCCTAAGTATAGGAAACCCCGATCCTTCAACTGGCGTCGGAATTTCATAAATATTATGGATTCTGTTGAAGATCACGCCAGGGTCAGGGTTTGCTCTGCGCTATTTTTAGGGACTTTGATATTGAATACTGTTCGTTTAACCATATCTTTCTGATTGATTCATAACGTTCTATTGTAAATATTAGTCATTTTCCTGTGGGAAGCCTCTCGATTACTAATTTTAATTTTATCGACCTGTCAGGTAATGAACAATTTCGAAATCTCAGACACCTGACATGATACTAGGGAAAGAGGACTGCAAAGAAAAGGCAACTTTCGGGGAGCGTATGAAAATACGTTTTAAAGCATGTTTACCGTACAGAGAAATTATTCTCGTGATACGTTTCACTCTGCTAGACTTGTCTTCAAGGAAAGGGTGACACAATCATTTTGCGTCAAAGTCACGAGTCTATTCCAATCGGATCATCACTTTTATTTTCGTTAAATTGAAATATTGAATAATTTCATTTCAATGACTGATTTTAACAATTTAGTTCCCAGGAAATTGAATAAATTATACTTCGGTTTTCAACCTGGTTCTCAAACTTTAAGTTTTAGTATAAATGCATAGTGATGTAAACTGAATGTAGTTCATAAACAAATTTCAAAATCACAAGAACATACCCCTGATAAATTAAGAAAAGTGTAAGTTAATTGTTTTTGCATTCTATTTACTTTCTGGAAAGTGATGCTGCTTTCAAAATAATTCGCATTTTGTTAGTAAAAAATGATTATGATCTATTAAGTGTATGCCCTAAAGAAAAATCAATTTAATTTGAACCTTCTATGTTAAAAATACCAAACCTGTACACAAAAACACGTTTGAATTAATTATATTATTATACTTTCGGAAACCTGTTTATATATTTTCTTTCTTTTTGTAGAGATATATGTTGTGTAATTCGCCGGCGAAATTTTTTGTAGAAGCTTTAATATTTGACACTTCTATTGTTTCAGTCAGGGGGAAAAGAGCAATAGAAGCATAAGAGAGTACCACTCCTGAAGGTCTTATTTTCCATATTTAACGACAAAGCAATAACAACCCTTTGTATTATTTTATTCTCTTCATGCCATTATTCGCTCACATATGAACGAGAAACTTCTATCGCATTCGTAGTCATCCCAAGACATTTCATGGTTAGCATTCAGCGCGAGACATTCGTCACCTGCGGATGTATCCGGCTTACCGGGTGCCCAGCCATTATCCGTTACTGGTTTAAATGTTGTTGACCATCTCCATCTGTTTTGTGAGAAGGCATCTTTCCCTCCAATAAATGCCGTACCTTTTACAAGAGACCATCATTCAATTTTACGAAATGCCGGATTTAATAACGGATAAGATTAATAAACTAAAATTAAGGTAAGAAAATGAAATGAGCATTTAACCATGAAGACTTGGAGGAATTGATTTTAAAGGAACAAAATGTCATCAGATGTATTTTATCTTCGATTTTATAATTCCATGGAAATTTATATTAAGCCAAATTATTTACGTTTATTTAGATAAAGTGAAGAAACTAAATTTAAACTACGAAGTTCTTGATTAATTAGTTAGAAATTAACAGAATAATATCGTTCTGGTATGTTGTAGGCATCGTTGAATTTCTACTACTTTCTCTAGAAAATTATCGAAGCTCGATCACAACCATTCATACCATAATCATTCTCCTTTGCATATTTTTTCAGAAATGTATTTTCTTGAACGGTCTTTATTTCTGCTAATTTTGCGCCGAGCTTTTGGCATTCAAACTGCAAAGAATAAATACATACCTATGTGTAATAAAATAAATATAATATAAGGAATTTTTGAGATATCAGATATTGATCCCATTTTTTTTTTTTTTACATTATTCTTCAACAAGTTCTGCTGTCACTAAAATGCTAAAATGCATTGATTTTATACACGCTGACATTTATTTCGAGCGATATACAATTATTACCTGCATATAAAATTAATGCCTGACAGTCGCTTCAATATGGCCTTAATAGAAAATATCCTACAAAGGGACAGAATCGCGTGTTGAGGAATTGATCCTTACATCGAGAGTTTGAATCCCATTGTTGGACGTGGAGACCAGTCCTTCGTATAAATGAGACCGTACTGACGGAGGTTCCTTGTCGCAGTAGGTGCTGGTGCGAAAAAGATACCTCACTGGCCAATGGCCTAGTCTGCCGAGTATAGATTTTAGATCGCAGCTAATGGTGGTGTCTTCATATGAGTGAAAAATTCTCCAAAGGGACATAAAACAACATAAAACAACAACACAACATAGGGGTAGTTTATAAAATGAAGTAGGCTTAATATGTAATAACTATGATACAGGGATTGAATAATCTCGTTTTAAGTCAAGGTTTTACAATCCATACAATGATAAAAGTTTGCAAATAAAATATGTTCATTCTTCCATGACCCTTGATCCCACCTCTAATGTTTTGGATGTCATTGTATGCGCTGCTCCTATTTTGTTATTTTTTATGGACTTTCGACGCATATTTTAAACAATTTGACGGGCTTTCATCTTTGCTAGAGTTGTCTACTTATTTTTCCAAAAACTTAATTTGAGAAATAAATATAAAGTAAATGTCTAGTTGTCATGGAATGTTTACTCCTTCATGACATGTGAAGCAAGCTTTGTATTCAATTTTGGTTGGCTCTGCACATACTTTGTAAGCCATATTGAAAATCCGCAAAGGCAATACCTCTTATACAAAGACGGATTAAATTCATTTTCTTTTACAATTTTAGTTGTAATAATATTATAAACACAGTAAATATATTATGATTAATGAGTGAAAAAATACCTGTGCGTCAAGCCATTTCATTTTCTCTTTGATGTGCAAATATTGCGATTTACCGAACACTTTCCAAAGAGAAATATCTGTGAAAGAAATTAAAACATTCTAAGTTTTATGCACATTGCACACATTTTCGAATAAATACATACACAAGTACCCTGTAAACAAGATGTGAAAATCTGATGAAGATGAAAGTCTTGCCATAAAGAACTGATATTTGAAATATGAAATTCCTAGTCTTTATAGTTTAAAAATGAGGGCCAAAGTAAGGGCAAGCTTACACCTTAATGACACCTGATACAACAATTGATGTTTGTAGAGATACTTGTATTCTCTACTACAAATATGTATTGTTTCTTTGGTTTTCAAAATGATTGATGTTCGTTATCCTGATTTAAATTGATCTTGTCATTTTTTTATGAAAAGACATGCAAACCAAAAATAATGTAGGCCCTTTTTCGCATGTTATCGAAGCTTGGGTAATAATAAAGATACCGTTGCAATGGTTTTTTTTTCTATTTTAATGAATGAGTTATACATGGATTTAAAAAAAATAAAAAGAAATTAAACACTAAAAACTTACCTGACGAAGAAAAGTACAGGTATCCCACAAATGGCAGAAGATCACTCTGTTGAACTTGCCTTGTACACACACATTTCCTTATGGCAGAATTGTAAAAGAAAGAGACAGAATCCGCCAGTTTCCTGCACATAGCGCTACAACTCGATAAATTAGGAATATTTGTTATTTCCGAAAGAATATTAGTAGTTGAAATCTGATTGTCATTGTTATAAACATGTACATATTCGGTTGATTGTTGATAGGAATTGATGAAGTTAAGCAATGTAAGGATTATACACAGCACATAAAGAGGGACGTGCATCGCGCTTGACGATCCTTCAACGAGTTACGTTATTAAAATTCTAACTGTTCTGCAATGTGAGGTAAATTAGTCAGAATCAATAATTAAACGTTTTTATTTCATAATCAAAGAAAATCTTAAGCTCTGTATTATATTCTTAAATAATGAAACCTTATCTTCTTCATACGAGGATTGTCCAAAAAGATTGTGGACAAATGATTTATTTTCTAAATAAAGCCCGCAATGGCAAGTATGTACGATAATATTTTTCGTACATGACCGTAATTTAGGAATATAGAAAGAACTATAGAAACCATCTCGTTGCGAGTAACGTCCTATTCTGGAAAAAAAATAATCGTAAAATAGAGCTAAAAAGTGAAAAAAAAAATGGACACAAGGGGCCCGCAGCAAGGTTAAGTCCGCCCTTAGGAAAAACATCTTAAAATATTCTGTGATAATCAATCTAATGTTGATTATATTTTTAAAACACGAGTTTTTATTTAATGGAAATTCTACTATTGCATATGCATGTATGGGGCCTATGCCAAGTTTGGCCAAAGCGACTTCACTTACATCAGCTGTTTGTCATGTGACATGTTTAATATTAGAAAAACAATGTACGACTATGAAGATCGTAAAAGTTCAACGATATACGAGTAATTGTTTACTATGAAATTGATTGTGATTTGTTTAGGACAAATTTCTTAAGTCGAAAAGTGCTGGGAGCATCTTCCTATTGCCTAGGAATAATATGAATTTTAGCTGTCTTTTGATAAAATTACTACATTAATATTATGCGCATTAAAAAAATGTCAAATTAGAAAAAAGCAACAGCGCAAAACTTGCTACCAGCACTTTTCAAAATAGTATGGACAATAGCTACAAGTGTATACAAAATCATGATTTATAGTTAAGCGGGTATCCTTGAACTTTTCAGATTTTCGAGAGGTTGTGCCTTTCATTTTAGTACATTTATGCATAAATGTGCATTACTGCGGCTTAATATATATGAAACCTAATAGCGTTCAATTTAACAAGACTGGAAGTGTTGATTAATACATTGAAAACTATGACTTGATTTTAGTCAAATCACGTTTATTTAATTTTAAATTCCATATTTACATGCTTCGATAATAGCTTGATCTACATCTCAAATACAGATAAACTGCGTGTCAAATAAGTCTATGACGTCATCTCAGTCAGTACATCGAGACCAAGGTGGCTTTTATTCTACATTCAAATAGACTTGTAATGACAAGATAATCAACACAATGATTTATATTAACAATATTTATGAGAAATGACTGCATGTAAGAGTGTATGAAAAAGACAATTAGTATGTATGCGCCAAGATTCATTAGCACAGTTTTACCGTGTCGTCATAATCGAATTCTCGAAGCTCTGCTTAAGCTGAGGCACCTAAGGGGAGTCCTTAAGGAGGCTGGCGGGTCAAAAATTTAATCTTAAATTAACCACCAGATTTAACTTATTTTTTAAGATATGGTATATTTAGCTGTCAACTATCATTTGGCAATGAAAAAATTCATATATTTTAGTTTTAAAATTTTATCATTTTGTATATCTTTATATGGAGCTCTCCTTTTAAAGGAGATTGAAATAGTCTAAAAATGGCTGCCACCCCCTAGCCTCGTTAACCTAGCTGCGGGGTTGAACCCGGGCTAGGTTGAATACAACGCATTTTCCCCTTTATTCCCAATGCGCTATCCATTACGCTGTTTGGACCCATGTTATAAATGTACTTTAATATGCTTCTGCAACAGTAATCTTTCTTAGGATTATGAATGGCGAGTCATTATTCGTAATTTCGAGTCAAACACCACGAGTAAATCTTTGGACCTATTCTTTGAATGTTCTATTAATAGGTGTGATATGTTTCGTGAAATTGAAACGAACGTTCTTATAGCTTAAATTTCAAAGTTTAGAAAGTATATATAACACATTGTACACTTTACATATCCTATAAAGGAAAGTTACTTCAATGCAGTGAAACGGTTATAAAGAACTATATGCGGTATATTACATATATTTGCCCCCACAAAAGTCAAATTTTGAAAACTTCCTGAAATGTGCTGAATTCAATAAATTGTATGAGAAATATAAATTAACAGAAAATATTATAGTGTCAAAGCAGTGTATTCACAATTTTTGTTTTTATGACGTCACAAACTAGTCCGATTTTATATCCCTTTTCAAAAAGAGGACAAAATGGACAAAATTTCAACAATTTTAGCTTTAAAATTTATAGAGCGCAAGGTTGTTCAGGAACAATATTGACATATTTCATTGATATTATCATTCTACACATTATATCAAAATGTTGATCCTGAACACACATGCGCTCGGTGACTTTTACTCAAAATATCGACGAAATATGTACATTTTTCTGTAAAATTCATAAAAACCTGAAATTTGCGTCATGTTTGTGACGTCATTACGTACATATGGCGTCATTACTTATGAAAATATTCAGTGCTTTGAAGTCAGCATATACTCCCCTGTTTAAGAACTTAATTAAATATATCTCCATCAAAGTTTGATTTGGGTGGGCAAATATTGGTTATTACCGAATAAAGTTCTTTGTACATTTTTTAAAATTTCCTTTTTATTCCGAAGTTGACTATCTCGATTAGTTATCCTTTTATGAAATGGTCAGAATGTTTCGCCGACAAACATGTCTCATGCTAATCTTCAACGGTAAAGAAATCAGATACCATTTATGTTTAATTACATGCATCAGATCTTTTAAAAGAAAATATTTATAAACTCAATTAAACGATCTTTTAAAGAATGCTTTTCTTCTTCTTCTTATTTTTTTTTTTTGCCTTTTCTATTAGACTAGTGTAATATAATGTAAATTTACATGGGAACCGTCTGTCTGTCGGTCCGTCTGTCTGTCTGTAAACTTTTAACATTTTCGACTTCTTCTTAAGAACCACTGGGCCAATTTCAACCAAACTTGCCACAAAGCATCCTTGGGAGAAGGGGATTCAAGTTTCTTTCAAATGAAGGGTCATGTCCTCATTCAAGGGGAGATAATTGGGAATTAATGAAAATTTGGTGGCATGTTTTAAAAATCTTCTACTCAAGAACCACTCTGCTAGAAAAATTGAAACTTATGGGGAAATATTCTCAGGTAGTGTAGATTTAAATTTGTTCAAATCATGACCCCCCAGGGTGAGGGCGGGGCCAAAATGGCCGACCAAAGTTTTACATAGAAATACATTAAAACTCGGTTATAACAAAGTCGCTGGGACCTGTGGAATTAATTCGCTATATCCGTAATTCGTTATATCCGTATAAGGAATAAGTTAAATTTATACAGCTGTTGAACCAAGATAAATTCGCTATATCAGTAAATTCGCAATATCCGTGTTCGTACTAAACGAGTTTTGCTGTATATAGGAAAATTCTTTAAGAATATATTTCACAAGAATAGCAAAGCCATAATTCATCATATTCATATGGAAACATTCTCAAGTTGTTTAAATTTAAGTTTGCTCAAATCATGACCCCCGGGGGTATGGCGGGACCACAATGGCCGACCTAAGTTTTACATAGAAATATACAGGAAAATTCTTTAAAAATCTGTTTCTCAAGAAAAGCAAAGCTATAAGTCATCATATTTATATTGAAGCATCCTCATGTAGTGTAGATTCAAGTTTCTTCAAATCATAACCCCCGGGTGTAGGGCCACTTGTACTTTACCATTCTCTTTTGCTGATCTGTGTTAAGTGACATAAACCTTAAAAAAAAACAAATGGAAGAAATTATATTTCAAAAGTGAGTTTTTGATATTCTCTTTCATTGTCATTGTTGTTGTAAACTATTCACTTTTCCTCTAGAACCACTGAGCCAATTTCAATCTAACTTTGCACAGAGTATCCTGAAATGATATATATTCTACTGTGTTCAGACAAACTTTTAAAAACCATTTGGTAAGAAAAAGTAAAGGTTCATATTTTAGCTCACCTGAGCCACGTGAACTTTTCTGATCAAAATTTGTCTGTTTGACCACAATTAAAATATTGTTGGTGTGGCATTGCCAACTCAGTCTTAATACGTTTGGGTCGGTAGGTAGGAGAAATTTTTTTTTTCAATTTCAGAAAGTTGTTAGCATCTGGTCGTCTGAGTTTTAGCTCACCTGAGACAAGTGAGCTTTTCTGATCACAGTTTGTCCATTTCGTCTGTGTGTCCATCCATCTTTCTATCCATCCGTCTGCTAACTTTACACTTTTTTGACTTATTCTCAAGAACCACTTGGCCCATTTTAACCAAACTTGGTACAAAACATCCTTAAGTACAGGGGAATGTACATGTAATTTGTTTAAATGAAGGACCAAGACTCCTTACAAGGTAAGATAATCATGAAAATATAGAAATAGGGTGATGTCTTTAAAAACTCTGCTTCTCAAGAACGATTCCTTAGGATGAGACCTTAAACACCGAGGCCCCGTGTCAGCGGTAGGCGTTAGCACGATAAAGATCCTTCACTGCTCAATGACCCTGAGTGCCGAGTAAAGGTCAAAATTTTAAACCCTTCACCGGCATACGGTGACGTCTCCATATGAGTGAAAAATTCTCAAAAGGGATGTTAAACAATATACAATCAATCAGTCAATCTTCTCAAGAACCACTCAACCAGAAAAGCTGAAACTTATGTGGAAGCATCCTGGGGTAGTGTAGATTCTAAATTATTCAAATCATGACCCCCGGGGGGTTTTGTTAGACAGATTGCTGCATAAACATTCTTTTAAAAGTAAAATACATTCTTGTTTTTTTTTCCAAGTTGTAAAAATAGCACACATCTTTCGATGTGTAAAGAAAATGAG